AGTATATGCACATGGCCAAAATAACTGAATCGTAGAGAAGGTTATACGCTGCAAAATTAAATTTCCCTACCCACCCTCACCTCTCTGCTTCCTTCTTCTCTCCAGAGGCTATCCTTCAAAGATCTATGTGTTCATTTATAATTTGCCAAACCTAACATATTATTGACTTATATGTGACTGGGGGCCTACTTTAACTGGCCGGTGTCGTGCCCGTCTCTAAAATGTATGTTTAATGAGAGGTGCACTGAGTATATTTTGCCCAAATGCTGAGTTAGAAGGAGTAAAACAGCTCTTTGGCTAAAATTGAGAGCAAAGGCAAATATCTCCACTAAAGAAGGAACTTTTGGGATACTGCAATACATCTGATATATAAAAAAATTCCTTCTATGATTTCACTATTAAAATTTTTATAGGCTACATTTTGTAAGTTTGATTATTTTATTAAAAAAACCCATCACTTTCTCAGTTTTCCCCATCATGATACTTTAATACGGCAAAGTTAACATTCTGCTTTGGAGTCCTCTTTCAAGATACAAAGAAGTGACAAACAGAACTTTAAAAAGACTTATGGCTTAAATGGAGATAAATTCACTTCAATGTATGCATGCGAGTATACCAATTATGGGACAATTAGAATTATGATATAATTTAGTCTCCATCTATCTTATTTACATCTTCTCAAAAATTAACTCAACCCTCTTAATATTTCCCTATGTATTTAACATTTTGTAAGTTAGTCTTCCTGTTTTCTTTCTTTCTTTTTTTTTTTTTTTTTTAGAGGGGGGGGGGGGGGTGGGCAGAGTAAGAGGGAGAGAGAGAATCTTAAGCAGGTTCCACACCCAGCTTGGAGCCCCACACGGGACCCGATTTCACGACCCTGAGATCATGATCTGAGCTGAAATCAAGAGTCGGTTGCTTAACTGACTGAGCCACCCAGGCTCGTAAGTCAGCTTTTTTTTTTTTTTTTAAGATTTTATTTATTTATTTGACAGAGAGAGACACAGTGAGAGAGGGAACACAAGCAGGGAGAGTGGGAGAGGGAGAAGCAGGCTTCCCGCTGAGCTGAGAGCCGGCACAGGGCTCAATTCCAGGACCCTGGGACCATGACCCAAGCCAAAGGCAGACGCCTAACGACTGAGCCACCCAGGTGCCCCGTAAGTTAGTTTTTATACATAAAATTAACAGCATTCATGGTTAACTTTGCAAAGTTTTATTACTGCAGTAATAAATGTACATGTAAACTTCTGCTTACTGATGGAGTTTTCACATGTAAAACCCCAAAGGAGAGTTTCCCTCCAAGTCACAAATTGGAGATTGGTATTTAAAAGGGAATACTAAGATGCCAACAATAATTCTGCACAACATGCATTGTTCGTATTGCTGACACTGTTACCCTGATTAGATACAACGGCAGTCTCTGCAAGCACATGACCACAGATTAGGCAAAAAATCAAGATGCAAGAAGTGATGCTGAAACAGGCATTTGGCTATTTAGATTTCCATAAGCAGAGAATGAGTCAAAGCTAAATAGCTGATTTTGGCCGAATACTCATCCTAAAGACAAACTTGAGCACATTCCTAACTCAGCATAAAGGACATTATTATATTTTATTTTAAAATATTTCAATTTATTTATTATTCAACAGTTCTCTCATTCCCAACTCATCGAGTTCTAGAAGGTGTTAGTTCAAACTAGTGCTGGCTAGATATCTTAGCATTCCCTGTTTGGTCTTTCAGACTGGTCACAAAAGTGTTACGTTTTAAATCAGTTTTATAAATTCAAAAACATGTAGAAAGTTGTAATGAAAGTTTTAACCACATATATTTTAGTTCCTGTAGTCATAGGAAGCCTGTGACTATACTGTGTATTGGAATACAGTGACTTCTATCTCATGTCAAAACATATCAAAAGTTTGAAGTGTATGCACAATAATTTCCTATTACCTATAGACAGTGGTACTGGATCACAATAATGTGTCACGAAGTAATTACTAGCCGACATATACACTGTACTGTCCATGGAGTAAACAGCTTCATAATCAGTATTTTATTTGATATTGATTTACAAATCCATCCTTCTGTATTTGATTTCTGTATACCTACAGTCACTCCATATGTGCATTTAGAGATGGTAATTTCATTGCCTCTTTTACATTAAAATCCAATATTACAGTAATATTCATGATGACTTTAAATGCTTAATACTTAAAATAATTTACTTTAAAGGGTGGTACGATACATTACATCATTTTGCAATACAGAGAAGAATGTCTATAAATCTCCTACTCTTATCAAAAATTATTATAATTTTGTTACTTCTGTCTCATTCTCATACACTTATTTTATATATGGTTGAAAGAAGTTGGAACTTTAAAAAGTAGCCTGAGGAGGCTGTGTTAAATCATGGGGATAAATACTTCAAATATGGCATATTTTTAAAGGCACAGTGAGATCATCATGTATAAATCCTACTTCGTTTCATGGCTAATCAATCAACCAACCAAAAACTTGGTGCAAAGTGAACTGGGAAACTGATAATAAAAATGTTTAAAATATTTAAAATATTTTTATCTGAAATAACCAGTGGCTAGAGCAGAAATAATTCCAGGCTTACACTATCTAACAATTACTTTTTTACTTTCTTCCATTCCAACTTTGGGATTCGAGCACCACCCTATGAAATTATGTTCCTTTACTATAGCTGGTTTATCTGACGCATTCTGCCTGTGTTTGGCTGGTGAGTCTCCATAGTGGCACTGTTCATACTACTTCATCTAAACAGTGAAAACACAATGATGACTTTCATGTTTTTTGTTTAAAATATAAATATTCTGCTCAAACCCAGATGTGTTTTCAGATTTATTTCCTTTTCCTTGATGTTCTCTATCTTGTGCGTTTAATCTCTCATACATTTTACAGACAGTACAAATAGAAAAAAAGGAAAAAAATGATAATTCTATAAAAAAAGCTCAGAAATAAGAAAATTTTTATTTGAAAACTATTAAAATGGTTATATCATAATAAATTTCCTTATTTGGCAAGATATTTGTGTGCTTGTCTTGGAAGAATATTCTACTTAAATTACATTTTGCTTCTGTGAACATCTGTTTTAAACTTTCTTGAAGTGTTTGTTTCAACGATTTTACTCAAATAAAATCATGGTACCTCATGCTTCTTTCTACTGAGGAGATTCTTATATGGTTAGATCCTAAATATAGATTTTTATATAAATTTTATTGAAAAAAAACCAATGAGATAAATTTAT